GCCCAGCGGGGGAAACGAGGTAAAAGAGCGTGTAGGCGTGAGACGTTATTTAGATGTAGATGTAGATGACAGTCGTAGAAAAAATGTGTAGGAGGCTCTTGGCGAATCAATAAATAGGCACACACTCGGATTCTCATTCAATTTTTCTTTAATTTATTATCTCTTTTTGCATACGACGGGTCCGCATGATGATTACCATCCAAGTCCCTTATTTTTCCCGCAATCCCGATTACACTCTTATCGATAGTGCTTAGTGATCGACTATAATCTAATGGTATCTCCACTCGATGTATCGGGTTCGTAGACGATACCAACATGCGCTTATTCAAAAGATACAGTGCTTAGATCAAATAACCTGCTACAATTCGGCCATCCTGACCGGAGTGCTCCTGAACTCCCAACCTTGTTTGATCTTGTTAGACTTATTTGTTACGGCTGAGTACATTTCAAACTAAGTGTTCTACGTTAATGATTCAACATCACTTGGCTTTGGTTCCCCGTGTCGTCTGCCTCGCTGTCTTTTTCTAACCATGGTTTCATGTTCGCTACGGCCCAGACTCCTTTGTACGGTATCCTTGACTGTTGAAATCCCTCTACAGCTTCTAAGATGTGTCTATCATTTCTTTTCTGTTTCATATTCCTTTTCTGTTTGATAATCCTTTTCTGTTCGATACTCCTTTTCTGTTTCATGTCCCTTTTCAGTTTAACACTCAATTTGCTGTTTTTCATTTCCTTTAATTTTTTTTTTTTTTTTGTGGTTTTAAGTTACCGCTCTACCCTTAGGTAGAGGGGAATTATTTGGCCACCCGCCTTTACAAGGGGGAAATCGCCACGTCGTAATATGTAACTTGTTACAGCTTTGCTCCAATACTTACCTGGCGTAGAGGTTATGTTCCCCACGTGCTTGCAAATCCATTTTCTTCCTTTAAATTTGACAATAATTTTCTTTTCAATTTGACACTCATTATACCCGGTACTCGAAGAGTAAATAGGGTATATTGTATTTGTGCACAAAGTATGTAACACACAGAAGGAAACGTTTCCGACCCCATAAAGTATATATATTCTTGATCAGCATCAATAGCCGACTCGATGTAGCCATGTCTGTCTGTCCGTCTTGTTTGTCGGCTAGTTCTCAGAGACTATCAGAGCTAGGTCCACCAAATTTTGCATCCAGACTTCTGTATGCTCACACCGTTACAAGTGTATTTAAAAAATGAGCCCCGCCCCCGCAAAAGGGCGAAAACCTCCCAAACCTACAGTTTTGAAGATAAAAGAAAATTAAAAACGGGAATGACCATATATATCAGATATCGTCTCCCTTCCCTAGACACACACTCTGCAGACTCGTGGCAGAGGCAGAGGTTGCTGACTACACGAAGCAGAGAGTGAATGTGAGAATGTGAAAAAAAAACAACAAAAGCTGCTGAACAGGGTGAGTTTAGCCACTGCAAATTAATTTCTTCATTCTGACTATAATAATGATCCAATCGGATCCCAATTTGGTGATCTGATAGATATGGTCATTCCCTAGGCAATGGCGTTTTTAATGTTCTTTTATTTTCAAAATTGTAGGTCTGGGAGGTTTTCGCCCTTTTGCGAGGGCGGGGCTCATTTTTGAAATACACTTGTAACGGTGTGCGCATACAGAAGTCTGGATGCAAAATTTGGTGGCTCTTACTAGGATTACTAGGCTCTCATCAGGACGGACGGACAGACAGACATGGCTCTATCGACTCGGCTATTGATGCTGATCAAGAATATACATATATACTTTGTGGCGTCGGAAACGCTTCCTTCTATATGTTACATTTTACCCCCACAAATACAATATACCCTATTTACTCTTCGAGTGTAGAGTATAACAATAGCAAAGTTGTATTTTGTGAAACAAAAAGCAAAAAGTTATGCTGCAAATTATCTTAAAACAATGAATCTAGTTAGAATCTTGTAAATTCTTACTTTTAATATTAATTTATAACGAATCAAACCAAGTTGTGGTTCCCAGGCTGAGCGTTCTCTCAGTGCGCTTTCAGCATTGACAAAAAAACACACTTTTATTTTGAAAGGAGGAGGAGTTTAGAGACTGCTATTAATATTTAATATAAAACTTTGATTTGGAATTAGCATTTTTGGACTAAGGTATTGACTCCTGTGCTCTGGTGCTTTCAGTTGTATTGGCTGCAATATATTGTCCCACTGACTAAAATGGAGATATTCTTGTGTATTTTTAAATAAATGGTATTATATGGACATTGATGCATCGAATTAAATTGTTTTTTTTTTTCCTTCCATAACTGCAAAAATACAATTTATTTGTATATAATAATAAGTATAATATAAAAAGTTAATACATTTTACATACTACTCTTTATCTATCTCTTTTTCTCTCATTTTTATGTATTCCAGATTAAGATCCAAAATAATTATTCCGATTAATTTCAGATCTTCATCTGGTTAATTGATACATACATGTGGTTGGAAGTGATACACCTCCAAAAATAATAATAACCATCACTATATTATCTAAAATATCATGCTCATCTGCCTCTGTCCGACCATACTTTTGTTCAATTCTAATTCGTAATATGAATATATTACGTATATGAATATATATTTTATATACCTAAAATAATTACTAACGGACACTTTTGTAGGGATGCAAAATGCGCTATGTATTTTTCATATTTTATTGGAAATTTAATTGCTACAATCAATTTTCAAATTTATACACAGTAATTTTTAATTTCTTCATTATTTTGTATGGTTGTCTTGTGTATGCGATTGGTGCGTGCTAATTCAAATCAATGACTGCATTAAAATATTCCCCAAAAAATGGTTTCTTAAATAATTAAATATTCCTACAGGCTAATTTTCTATACATTTCTTATTGTTTTGACTAAGCACTTTCCATTAACTCTAAAATAAGAATATCTATTTTATGTTTTTAATAAATCCTTTTTAAAACAAAAATAAAAGATAAATAAAAAATGAGTGCATTCCGTTTATACAAAATTTGGCCATAAAACTTCTTGTTCGACAAATATATGTATATGACAAAAAAAATACATGTATTATCTGTTATCAAAAATAAAGAAGAAGGGACGTGTGAGACGCTACTACATCTGCACCTTAGCGCTGTTTTGTCAAATTTAAAATTATTTCTTTACCTGTCATCTACAACACTTCTTACATCGCCCTTCCATAGACCCACACACTGCAGACTCGCGGCAGAGGCAGAGGCAAATATAACAAATATAAGCTGCGGGACGGGGTGGGTTAAAAGTCGGAAGAGTCAGCGGTAGGGGGAGGGCAGAGGCAGAGTGAAGCAGAAGCAGAGTGTGAATGAGAGAATGTAAAAATAACAACAAAAGCTGCGGGGCAGGGTGGGTTTAGCCACTGGAAATAAATTTCTTCATTGTGGATATAATAATGATCCAATCGGATCCCAATTTGGTAAAATAGATATGGCCATTCTCTACGGAATGGCGTTTTTAGTTTTCTTTTATCTTCATAATTGTAGGTTTGGGAGGTTTTCGCCCTTTTGCAGAGGCTGAAGGGGGCGGGGCTCTTTTTGGAAATACACTGGTTTCAGTGTGAGCATACAGCAGTCCGGAGCCAAAATTTGGTGGCTCTAGCTCTAGGACAGACAGACATGACTATCGACTCGGCTACTGATGCTGACCAAGAATGTATATACTTCATGGGGTCGGAAACGTTTCCATCCGTGCGTTGCATACAACCGTTATTCGCACAAATACAATATACCCTATTTACTTTTCGAGTACCGGGTATAAAAATTGCTTTTATACAGCCAAATGAAAAAATTGTAATCGAAAATATTGAAGATATACTAATATTACATGGGTGGAAACCTTTACAATGAAAATATCAAAATACAAGGGAATCTGATGAGCGCAATAATAAATACGCACACATAATTATATTCACTGATTTTTCAGTTCCAAAAAACAGAGATGGAAACACAAAAAATATAGGTAATCAACTGGTAACTGGTACTGGTAATAATGAACATAAAAACTTTGGATACATACTTTTTTTTACTTGTTCTTTGCTTTTTTGTTTTTCAGCTTGTGTGATAATTTGTGGGTGGCGATTGTGCTTAAATGCTTATGGTAATGCAGCTAAGTTGTTTAATTTTACTTCGGATGTGTGATTTTTTAAATTAAAATCTGTTGATGTTTTTGAATCAATGTCCTCTTATTCCAGCTTTTGCGCTTTTTTAATTACACTACTCGGAAAACCCAAAATTTTTTTTTGGCTAGGAACCAAACCAACTTTTTCTGAGACTAAATTTTTTTAAATAACTATTTTTTGTTTATTTTGCACAACTTTTTATTAAAGAATTTGTAAATTCTGGAATTTTTTTGTAACGGTTTTTTTTAGAGGTAGCGCTTCTTCTTTCACATAACTTAAGTATTTTACATCTGGTTGTAATGAACTTAGCCATTCTATGAAGCTGATAAATGCAACTATAAAGTGTATTCAAACACGTTCAAAAATATTAAGCTTTGAAATGCAAATGTTGATTTTTGCGAGATAATTTTTACGAAATTTTGACTTTAGAAACTCGGGAAAGACCTCTAAAAAAGGGTTAAAAGATAGATACCGGATTTTCAAAATTTTTTAAAAAAAGTTCTGCAATAGAAAAAAAAATTATCATGAAACCATTTCTAAGCCCCCATATCTTTCATAAAAAGTTGATCTGGATCAAAGCGGCAAAATCGCGTCGAGAAGTGTTACTAAAAATTAGTGGTTTTTTAGGTCTGCCACAATTTTTGTTACTGCAAAACGAAAACATGCCATTATTGGTTTTGTGTTATTGTTCCAATGTTGTCTGAAGATCTTGCTACGCATGTCGAGTTTCAATTATGTGGTTTTTTTCGCTTTATAATTGCATTAAAATGTAAAAAGTTCATATAATTTAACGCCTTTTCATGTTTCCATTGTCGTTGTTGATGATGAAGATTTTTTCGATGCTATAGCGAACCAGCTGGAAAGCTTGTTGAACTATTGCTATGCGCTAAACTAATCATAGATCCAGAGAGACTTGCTTCGTCATCTGGGTAGGCTTCGCGAGACACCTCAGCCAGCGATAAAGAGCTGCAAGATCGAGATTTATGGTGAATGGATTGAGTGCATGCAACCTATTATACACAACCAAAAAAGAATTACCTGAAACCTAAAGCAAGGGATTCATTATCAAATGCTTCCAGTTCTCTAGCTTGCTTTTCATGTTTCATGCGCAAGCGTTCAGCGCGTTCCTGATTGAATTGCTGCAACTCGGCATCCATCTACAAGGGCGGATACAGGTTATGGGTACAAATTACTAATAAACATGGATAGCTGTTGTGGTTTTTGCGAACCTTGTTTTCAAGGAGACCACGACGTACGCTGACACGATTCTCCAACTCACGACGCTCACGATCTCGCTGTTCCTGTGCTTGTTTCTTGTTCTTGTTTTGATAAGCGGTCAGCATATCCAGTTCGTATTCCAATTGCTCATTAGTTCGTTGGCACTCGATCACTTGACTTTCGTCCAATTTATAGCTTTGACTTTGAAACATATCTGCAATGCTTTGTTCATACTGTAATCAAATTAACATCATTATAAAGACTATTCTTTGCCCACACCCGTTTACTGACCTGTTCACCTAACAGCGTAAGCTTCCGATGCTTTTCCTCTTTTAGCTGTTTGATAACTTCTTTCTGTTGTTCTTTTGGTGTCGTTTGTAAAACTTGCGCCTTATAACGTTTGTATTGTTTCGTTTGCGTTTTGCAAGTTTCACGAAACTGTTTACGTATAAGCAGCTCTTTTTGCTAAAAGAGTAAAAAACAATTCAACTTTTGGTTATTAAATTAAGCAGCTATGTATACCTTCAGGCTTTTGGGCTGTTGTCTTAGCTCAAGGGCATGCTTGCGTAGCAGCTCCTTTTTAATGCGATCCATATAGTCTTTTTGATTGTGCAACTCCGTGTCGTGTTGCTTGTTTATCTCCATGACGTAAGAAAAGAAACATGAATCTTAGTATGTTGGATGTATAGTTTGATCAGTGCCACTTTAAATGTCTAACCTGCTCCTCTCGCAACTGGTGAACGCTCTTTTGCTGGCGATACTCCAGTTCCTGTGTCTTTTCGTGATGCTTTAAGAGCATGGCATGCGCTTGCTCTAGCTGCTGTTCCTTCTTGCCGAGCTCCTGTAAGTAACGAGATAAGGAAAAGATATTAAAATATTACCATGACACTTCATTGTCATGCTTACGTCTCGCAACTGCTGATTATCATGTTCGTGGTTCACAACCATTCGCTTTCGCTTGAACTTGCGCATCTCGAGGTCAATATAATGCTTTTGTGCATGTAGCATACGTTGCTCCTCTTGCGCCTCGTGTTGCTTCAGATTATCCTTCTGCGACTGCAAGGTAAGATCACGTTGACGCTTCGGCGTTGTGTCGTCCATAGAGAGCTCTCGTTTCCAACGCTCTTTATTTGCTTTGTACTCCTTTTTGCGATTTAAGTCAAAAACCTTGCGATCGCCGTCTTGCTTCAGTGAAATCTCTTTGTGTAGTTTTTTTTCGGCTGTGCTAGTCTGTTTTGATCGACGCTCCACGTCCTGCTGGTGCCTATTCTGCAATCGTTTTCGATATGACTAATGTTCAAACCGTAAGTTTGCCCCTTTACTGACCTCGAGACGTTCCAGATCCCTGGTGAAATTATGCAACAGAGTGTCATATTCCTTGTCAAGGGCTGCCTTATGTGCTTCCATATCAATCTTGCATTTATCCTCGAGCTTCACAAGATGAGCCTGATGCTCTCGTCGCATCCGTTTGTAGCCCGACATTTGTTCGTGCATTTCTTCCTATACATGTCGGTCGGTAATATGAGGACAGAGAACTCTCGTTGTTAAAAATAGAATTTATGGAATACCAATTGAATCAGAGTATGTTCCGTAAAAAATGAATTGTTGCCTTTCAGTAATAGTTGCTAATCTAAAATTAAATCGAGAAGGGACGTGTGAGACGCTTCTTACGCGTCACAACTTTTATACCCGGCACTCAGTACTATATCTGTACCTTAGCAGTTTTTTGTCAAATTTTACATTTTTTCTTCATCTGTCATCTACATCTACAACACTTCTAACGCCAACACGCTCCTTTAGCTGCCTCCCTTCCCTAGAGCCACACACTGAAGAGCACGGCAGAGGCAGAAGCACAGTGTGAATGAGATACTGTGAAAAAACAAAAACTGCTGGACAGGGTGGGTTTAGCCACTGCAAATTAATTTCTTACCCCTATTCGGTGATCTGATAGATATGGCCATTCCCTACAGAATGGCGTTTTTAGTTTTCTTTTATCTTCAAAACTGTAGGTTTGGGAGGTTTTCGCCCCTTTTGCGGGGGCGGTAGGGGGCGTGGCTCATTTTTTAAATACACTGGTTTTAGTGTGAGCATACAGCAGTCTGGAGACAAACAATTTGGTGGCTCTAGCTCTTATAGTCTCTGAGAACTAGCCGACAACCAAGGCGGACAGACATGGCTCAATCGACTCGGCTATTGATGTTGATCAAGAATATATATACTTTATGGGGTCTCAAACGTTTCCTTCTGTGCGTTACATACAACTGTTATTAGCACAAATACAATATACCCTATTTACTCTTCGAGTACCAGGTATAATGAGTGTCAAATTTAAAAGAAAATGAGAAGGGACGTTTGAGACGCTTCTTATGCGTCACAACTTTTATATTCGGCATGCTAAAAATAATCACCAAAGTCATACAAAACAATGATGGCTACCGTATACTAACACGGGACTACTGACAATAAGAAAATAATGATAAATGTTGATACGTTTTGAGTTTATGGCTTTGTAGAATTGCTGTACTTATTATTTTGACCAACCCGTTTTAAAGCTTTAATAGATCACAGACTACATATTGGAAATGAAAAATGATTTTGTTAAACATTTTTATAATCTACTATAGGTAAGAATGCCATAAGCGAATTGGATTTTTCGTTTGAGTTTACCAAAAAGTTGTAGGAGTCATGAAAGAAAGTTCAAAGGCTGTACTTATTTTTTTGGCCAGTAGTGTATGAAAACCTTATGATTTTTGCCGAATTTTAAATTTTTTTGACCACAACTTCATCTACATTAATTCTCACACCTTTTAGCTCGCCCTCCTCTGCCATAGTCGCGCACTGTACGAGGAAGAGAGTGCGAGCGAGAGAGAGAGAACGAGAAAGCTGACACTGTGCAGACGAAGGAGGTGGGGGATAGCCACTGCAAATTAATTTTTTTATCCTGGCTAAAATAATTAATCAATCTGGCACTAATTCGGGAATCTGATATATATGGATTATCCACACTGAACTCCGTTTTTGGCGTTCTTCTATCTTCAAAGTTGTGGATGCCCCAGATTTTCGTACTTTGTGGTGGTGGGCAACATTTTTAAATACATAAGTAAGAGCCATGGTAGTCTGGATTCAAAACTTGGTTTTTATAGCTCTGATAGTCTCTGAGATCTAGACGCTCTTCAGGACTCATCAAACTACAGAGAACAGACATATTCCAATGGATACTGGCTATGTTGCAGACTTTGATTTTTCAAAAGCTTTAACGATTGGGAGAGAAAGGGGTTGAAAAGAAAGGAAAGCTGGAAAACCCACCTGCATGTGCTCCTTCTGCTGCTTGGTGACAATGCTGGTGGTGCGTATGGTGGCAAAGTTATTGGGGCCGTGTTCGTTGACTGCATTGGAGATGGCATGGTGCGAGGAGGCCGAAGAGGCAGCGTAAACGGCTGTCTGGGCGGCAGTTGTCAGATAGCGCGGCTGACATACGATGGGTGGCATACGATCAGTGCCAGGGCCGGAGGCCTGCAGCCCTCCACTGCTGCCTCCTGTGCCATGACCTATTCCGCTTAGATGTGTGATCACGGATAGAGCCGGTACAGGCGCTGGCACCACAGATGCCGAGTTCGTCGGCGTCACATTATTGTTCATGCTGTGCATGATGTTTGGCAGCGGCGGTCGATTACGATGCCGCGAAGCTGCGCCGCCTGGAACCACCTGCTGCTGTCCTCCGCCAACACTTGGCCTGCTGGGCTGAGCCTGTTGTAAATGATAGTGATGATGCATGGCAACTGCCACGGCAGCAGCAGCTTGCCGCTGATGATGATTCTGTGCCGCAGCCGGTATGGAATTTGATGATGAACTCTGCAAAGTGAGACATGAAAATTACCGTAGCTCAGACCAGGACTAGGGTGCGGACAGGCATACCTGGCTACTTGCTGCCGATACACCAACAGAGTGTATGGAGTGTTCCGAAGTAATACTATTGCTCCTGCTGCTGTCACCGCCGATATGATCGTCCTGTTGGTCATCGGCATCGCCCATGGTACTCTCTGTTTCGCACGTGTCCACCATGAGTATCTTTTTCATCTTGCGGTAGTTGAGGTTATCCAATTCTCGCACGGCTGACTTGGTGCGAGCTATTAGTTCTAACAGGACCGTATCTGAGCGTGGTCGTGTAACATACTCATGCATTAAGAGCTCTTCCGAAGAAGGACGCTCGACAGGCATCTTTTTGAGGCATAGCTCGACAAATCTACAGAACGCATCTGACCAGTCATTCTTCTGAAACAGTAATGCAAATTTTATATTATTCATATTTTGTGGACAATCCTGACTTTTGGACAGGACTATATGACGTATAAAGTTAATTTTTACATATCTAAATTGTCTACAATGCATAATCTATGAGGTCTACCCCTCGCAAAGTACGCTCTTGTCGAGATGAGAGACTCAGTAAGCGGAAGGTGTCGAGTCCTGTGCACAACTGTTCTTAGTATAATGCAGAGCACTATCTATTGTACATAGGAAAATACACATACACGTGTATTACAGCGGTTGGTATCAAAACCAATGTTCCGTTTCCGTTCTTTGCACACAAACTATAAAAACTTCTCGAGAATGTTGTGTGCGTGTCGACCAATGTAACTTAATACAAGTAGAATCGTCCGCGATACAGTGGACGTGCTCAACTCTATCAGATGAAATTTACTCACACTCATGTAATGAGTTACAGTTAACACTTAACTTAGATAACTTACAGTTACACTTAATGTATGTAATACACAAGGAAACGTCTCCGACCCCATAAAGTATATATATTCTTCATCAGCATCAATAGCCTGTCTGTCGGTCCGTCCACCTGTCCGTCCGTCTTGTTGAGGATCTCAAAAACCATAAAAGCTAGAGCCACCAAATGCTCACACTGAAACCAGTGTATTTAAAAATTTAGCCCCGCCCCCGCAAAAGGGCGAAAACCTCCCAAATCTACAATTTTGAAGATAATTTAAAACCAAAAACGCCACTCCGTAGGTAATGACCATATCTATCAGATCACCAAATTGAGATCCGATTAGATCGATTAAAAATCGGCAGAGGCAGAGGGACGGCAGATGCAGGGCCGCACACTGCAGAAGAAGAGTGTGAAGGAGAGAATGTGAAAAAACAAAAGCTGCAGGACGGGGTGGGATTAGCCACTGGAAATTAATTTCTTCATTGTGGCTATAATAGTGATCCAATCGGATCCCAATTCGGTGATCTGATAGACGGAATGGCGTTTTTATACCCGGTACTCGAAGAGTAAACAGGGTATATTGTATATTGGTATATTGGAAACGTTTCCGACCCCATAAAGTATATATATTCTTGATCAGCGTCAACAGCCGAGTCGATTGAGCCATTTTTTAAGTACACTGGTTTTAGTGTGAGCATACAGCAGTCTGGAGCCAAAATTTGGTGGCTCTAGCTCTTATAGTCTCTGAGAACTATCCGACAAACAAGACGGACAGACGGACGGACGGACAGACATACATGGCTATGTCAACTCGTATATAGATGCTGATCAAGAATATACATTGTGGGGTCGGAAACGTTTCCTTCTCTGCGTTACATACATCCGTTATTCCACAAAAATACAATATACCCTATTAACTCTTCGAGTACCGGGTATAAAAATCAGAAGAATTTAATAAGTTTTACAGATTTTACATGCGTTTAAACTGTAAATTGTTTACAGTAAACATTTATCTACAAATGCACGGCCCCTGTATGCCTCCGCTATTTTCACTTATTGCAGGCTCTATTTTTCTGCTTGTCTATGTCTGGGTTTTTGGTGAAAACCAAGAAAAAACGAACGCTCACATATATGTACATATGTACGTCCATATTTTCGAAGACTCTTTACTTACCGGAAGCATCGGCGACTCATTTTGAGCAATGTGATAGAGTGCGGACATGGCGTTCATGTTAAAGTAGGGCGGCTTTCGTTCAGCCAACTCAATGCAGGTGATGCCCAATGACCACACATCCACCTTGCCATCGTACTGGCCTTCGTCCATAGCCAGTATAACCTCGGGAGCCATCCAATAGGGAGTACCGACGAAGCTGTTAGCAGGGCACTTGATGGCCGCACTGCCGAAGTCAGCCAGTTTAACGATACCGTTGTCTGTAAGTAGAATGTTTCCAGCCTTTATGTCACGGTGGATGCGACCAAGGGAGTGCAAATAACTCAAGCCACTGAGTACACCCAGGCAGATGGCGGCTATTTCGTCCTCGTGTAGAGGTTTCTTGTGCACCTCGATTATATCCGAGGCGGAACCCACACAATACTCCATCACTAGCCAGGCGGTCGACTCACGTAGGTAGCAGCCTTTGTACTCAATAGTATTGGGATGATTTAATTGACGTAGGAAACTGTTTGGAGTAGGGGATATCATAAATTAGCGAAACTTAATTTAAGATTTAATTTTTACCGAATCTCTTTGAGTATGTCCTGCCACTTCTCTTGACTCTGTTTACCCGTATACGACATCTTCTTGATAGCCACAATCTCCTTGGTGAGATTGCAGCGGGCATAATAAACGGCACCAAACGATCCATGACCGATCTCGCGCAAATCCTCAAAAATCTTCTCCGGATCATGCTTGTTAAATAGATCGGCTATTTCCGGATCTTTAAGACTACCAGGACGTACCGAAGGCATAGCTGTCTCTCATGCTCCAGCTTACCCAGCACCAACACTCTCTCTACCACGCCTTTTCCCTGTTTGCTCTTTTTACTTTTATCTGCAAAGAGAAAAAGGGGATATGATCCTGATTTTTAGTCACGGTGGAAAAAAATATGTGTATCTTTCTACGGGGAACTTAGCTGAGCTTTATTAATTAACCTTATCAATCTGAAGAGGTTCCCTATTTGGGTGTCTTCCACCTATTGTTTGTGCAGTTCGCTGGAAATCAAATTAATCAAGGTTCCAGTTATGGGTCGTCTACATTCTTTTATACAAATTCTGGCATAAATCTTTCAGAATTCACCACACCAAAAATATTTACATTGTTGGATTTATCAAGCTATTTACATACTCTTTTTAAAATGTCAGTTATGGCACTTAATAATAGGTTAATAAGTAGAGTACACACGTGGCCAATTGCGGGCATTTGCCTCGACATAATGTAGTTTTGAATAGATGCAGTGGAGGCCCGAATAACGCAACCTCATAAAAAGTTTTGCGTTTGGCCATGTTCCAAACAACAAGAACACATTACGTAGTTTTGATGGGGGCGTGTGTTCGACCTTTCGAGTTACTGATATAGTAATTGAATGAATGAATTGAAATTGTTAACTCATAACATTTTGTATTTTTATAACCCTTTTCTAGACTTTTAGTTTGTTTCCTTTTTTTTTTTTAAACGCCTCTTTTTTCTTGAGAACAGTCTTGCACAAAGACTAGCCATGTCGTTCTCACACTGACGAGTTACAAATACACACTGGTGTAGTCATACATCAATATAAGTATGTATGCGCATATATACGTAATTATCTATATTCGCTTGCTGGTTGGTTGTTGTTTTGCATTACAATTTCCTTTTAGAATAACTAAAAATGTGTTTTTGTGTGTTTGGTCTTCATCGACGTGCAGCTCTTGTTATTTTTGTTGCTTGCTTAATGACGCTGTTATTGCATTTCTAAACTAGATTCTTCAATGATATAAAACGCTGAATATCTGTGTTATTCCTATGCAATTTTCCATCATACTAATTGTAGTAGCAGTAGTAGTAGTACTAATTGTAGCATTTCTGATGGCACAAGTATTCGTTTCAAAGCAGATCTCGTAGCAACTTAATGCTGCCAAATTATTTTCTAAATTTTATCGCACGTATTACACAATTCAAGTTTTATATAAATAAAAAGGCTTTCGATGTGCTGGCCGTTGCCATTTTCACTTGGTCGAAAAAAATTACAGGAAAAAGAAGAGTATGTACACGTACAAACACACGCATACACAAAGAAGTAAAAAATACTTAATTTACAAATGTATATATAAACTTTTTTATATAGCCGCTTACATTTTGCAATTGGTCAATGTTTTCTAGATTATCAGCGGGATAGTTCAATTTTTTTTTTTAGTAAAACAGCATTTTTAATTCATGCGCTTGATTTTATACAATGGTTGGTTTTCTGATGATGTATTTGATTGCATCGCAAGTACTTTGCGCTTTAAATCTTCGCATTTGATAAACATTTGAATGTATATTTTCAGAGTAAAATATGTTTTATTTGTTTAGCCCTACGAATTCAGTTAAACTTTCACTTTCTTTTTCCTCGATTATAAATTAAATGGTATAAGGTTCACATACACAGATAACAGAAGAAGAAGAAGCAAGAGAGAGAGGCTTCTCAGAACAATAGATACGCCTATCGATATATGGTTTTAGCAGAAAAGAATCTAGCTTAGTATTGGCCGCGACTCACTACACTTCCCAACCCTCACGTTGACATTTAAATTAGCATTTACGTATTTTCATATATCAATATTCATTACATATTATTTGTATTTGTAATAATAATAATAATATATTTTTGTGCAGTATATATTTCTAACTGCTGAGTGCGACTAGATGCGAGATCTGCATGCCGTGCGGAAATTCTGCTCAGCCAAACAAGGATGCAAGCAGGATATTACTTCTAGTGGAATATCGTCAACGGAAAATTCACTTGTCCTGTAAAGCCTAGTACTCAGATCGAAAAAAAGGGACTGCTGGAAAAATCAGGGATTATATTCGTATAGAAAGAAATTTTGTCGCGCACAAACTACTTTCTAGCGGCTGTGCACTAGGCAGAACTCAGATCTGAAAAAAACTGGCCGATTAAAGCTAGAAAATCAGCTAGGTGTATTGGTATTTTGTCTTATTCGATGGTATGTTTCTAGCAGCTCGACAGAGATACATTCGTTTTATGTTCCGCGAGGGTACCTAGCAAACAGAGAGTATAGTCTCAATAAAATGGAGGCAAAAATGCCGCAGAAGTGGAAAGATATATGGCCACAGTGCTTGAGGGCATCAAACGGCAAAATAGGATACAATTCTATTAGATTAACCTCATTAATGGAATATATTTTAAATATAGCAAATATGCAATATATTTAGCTAGCAGCAGAGTGTGACCATAGGTGAAAACCGCAGTCCGTACGGTTACACTTCTCAGCCAGCTGTGTTGTTTTGTTTACCTTTTTTTAAATGTGTGAAAATTGAATAAAAGGTTAATAAAACAATGAATGAAAAATGGATCCATGCAGAAGATTATTTTAGTGAGACTGGCGGCTCTTGCATGATCGGAGGAGGAGGACAATCAACGAAATAAGCGACGAAAACTTTGATTAAACCCATATCTGCAGGAAAGAAACCAGGACGGTCTTTGTCTATACATTTGGGTATTATAAATCATATAAATATGTGTTCATTTATGGAAACCCATGAAACGATACCCTTGCATATTCCGCAGTTTGAAAATATGACACAGAATTTGCATATGGCTGGGAATAACATCTGCAGACTTTTTTGATTGGTGGATAAATTCAATATAATCTCACTAATCTATAATAATTGTTTCCTTTTTTGCCGTTTGATGGCCTTAAGCTCGTTTAGAAACACAGTGATATTTATCTCTCAACTTCTCTCAACGCCCCTTTTTTTCGATCTGAATACTTGCACTAAGCAAACAACTCATAGAGTGGTCAAACGCAGTAAAAACTGGCTGCCTAATCAGTTTAGGGGATTGGCTCCCAGTGCCTTCGGCTCTTGGTGAGAGAGTCTTCGGCTGAGAGAGTTTGGCGTTGGCTCTCTTGAGCCTGTTTTGTTTTTCCCTTCAAGTCTGCTTCGTAATTTTATGTGTGCGGTGACACATCCATACATGATGGCAATGCGTGTATCTATTCTCGACTTCATATGCGTTTTCATTTTTAGCGCTTGAGACGTTTGGCATTTTTGCGTTTCTTCTGAGCTCACATACCCTTCCTTTAAACTTAAGTCTTTTTTGCCTTTTTTGCTTGCCCCAAAAACTAAATAAATTGACTTTGTGAATCCTCTCTATGCTCATATATTTCTTAAATACAGTTAGGAAGAAAGGAATAAACGGTTATAAACATCTAAATATGTATATAAATAATGCATAACCGCAATTGACTTGGCGTTGCAAATATTTTCTTTTAGAGTATTCAGCGTACACTCTGTGAATAAACATAGAGAGACACACACTAGACTACGAAAGCGACTTGAAAAGAAAAAACAAATAAATTCTTTTTCGGCACAGCTGCTATGTCTCCACTTAGTGGTACTAGGCTTTAGATCGAAAAAGAAACTTGCCGATGAATCTTATCAAATCAGCCGATGGTATTTTGTGGAATTGGATGGCAATTTTCGTTCAGCTCGAAAAGTATGCATTTGCATAGAGTAAAGTCTCAATAAAATGGAGGTAAAAATGCCTGTCAGTAAGTGCGAGTGAAAGGGCTCTGCGCTGTAAGTGTGAGTGAAACGACAATGGAGTGTGCTGATTAATCCTTTGAAGGCATGGGGACTAAAATTGCCCATCGCAAGAAAAGGAGTTGAAGTTTTTTTTTATACCAACTTTATATTGAATTTGTGCACAAAGTGAATGTATGTAACGCACTGAAGGAAACGTTTCCCACCCCATAAAGTATATATATTCTTCATCAGCATCAATAGCCGAGTCGATTGAGCCATGTCTGTCTGCCCGTCCGTCTGTCCGTCCGTCCGTCCATCTTGTTGAGCGTCTGGATCTCAGAGACCATAAAAGCTAGAGCCACCAATTTTTGCATCCAGACTTCTGTATGCTCACACTGTTACAAAAGATACGCAAAAGCCCGAAAACCTCACAAACCTACAATTTTGAAGATAAAAGAAAACTAAAAACGCCATTCCGTAGGGAATGACCATATCTATCAAATCAAACTGGGATCCGATTGGATCATTATTATAGCCACAATGAAGAAATTAATTTCCAGTGGCTAAACCCACCCTGTCCCGCAGCTTTTGTTGTTCTTTTTACATTCTCTCATTCACACTCTGCTTCGGCCTCAGCCTCTGCAGCGAGTCTGGTGTGTGGGTCTAGGGAAGGGCGGCGAGCTAAAGGAGCGTGTTGGTGTGAGAAGTGTTGTAAATGTAGATGACAGATGAAAAAATGTAAAATTTGACAAAACACCGCTAAGAAACAGATGTGGTACCTAGAACCGTGTATAAAAGTTGAGACGAGTAAGAAGCGTCTCACACGTCCGTTCTCGTTTATTTTAATTTGTAATCATTTACTACTTGAAAGTAGTCGTTACTATTGTTAATGAAGATATGCTTGTTTTCATATGCTCTTAATTTTACAATAAATTTCCACTTTATCGCTGCAAATAAAAAATCAAATTGTGAGTTAGAATGTTAATATATGCGAACAAAAAAACAAATAGAAATAGATTTACGAACATTACAAGAAATATTTAAGGGATGACGATAGTGCATAGGGTGAATATACGTGGCGAGCATTTGTGGATACATGGTTACCACTTTTCAGTTTAAACGCCTGTAAAATCTGTAAAAATTATACAGTTTTTCTAATTATTTTTTAAGTAAATTTAGCTATTTGGCAATGAAACAAAACAATAATTTTGTTCGTAGTAGCCCTACTACTTCCTGTCGCTGTAGATAAACTCCTCGGAAGGTCCAAGCGTCACGAAATGAAAATGCACAGTATAGATGATATTATGTAGGTTTATTGTGCACTCGAAACGGCGCGGGTGTAGAAAAGTATGTCTTTTGTGTATGTACGGATGTATGTATAGGTGTACCGGAATACTGAATACAGTAGAACACTGAGCTTAGCTTAGCGGCTGGCTGCCCGCCTTCTCGCGAGCGCCTGGAAAGAGGAAGAGCGCGAGAGCGTAGGGATTGAGAGCGCGAGCGAGCTCGGGCTGTTAACAACAGCCCGCTGCTAACTCGCTGCTGCTACTTTCAACAAATTTAAAACTTAAAGAAATCGGCGTCATTAAAAGTTTTATTATGTTGTTAAAAAAGTCAATGCATCCACTTTTGCACGTTTCCAATTGTTTTAAATTTCAAAATGTTTTGTGCAAAGGCCCGTAGCCTTTATCAAGCTCAGAATATGCTTCGGTATATTCTCGACTAAATGTTGAATGTCCTCGCCAGATATTGTGTCCCACTTGGTTTGCATACGGACTTAAAGGTCGTGCATTCCCTTTGGTGCGGACTTACCCTTTTCCACACGTTTTTTAAGAAAAGTACTTAGATTTCGCTGTGGCGATTAAATAACAACAACAAAAAAAGATTTTAAATGGGATTTAGATATTTTCTTTGAGTAGACTACTACTACGTTCTGCTGGTTGGTGATATCCAGTATGGGGTTAGCATAATTAAAATCTTCAATATTTCAAATTGGCCAAATTTGTCTCCAAAAGGCTACCAACGAATACCACACATATACCATCAATACCAAAAAATACTATCGGTTGACTTTCTAGATTTCACCGTCCAGTTTTTTTGTTGATCTGTGTACTGCCTGGCGTACAGCCGCTAGAAAGTAGTCTGTGCGCCACAACATTTCTTATCGGTTCCATACGAATATCATCCATGATATTTCTAGCGGCCCTTTTTTTTCGATCTGAGTACTAGGCTTATTTTGGGGGAAAAATCACGATATAAATATATTTTTATTTTAAAACAATATCGATATATTGATATTTTGATATATATTTGACAGCCCTATTTCAGCGTGCGTTATCCCAAAAATTTGTAGGTACCTACATATGTACATACATAGTACATTCATACATACATATGTACGTGTGCACAGCATTCGAATTTTTCATCATATAAAATGTCTGCCGGAAATTGATTTGCAGAAATTGGGGTGGGGGAACAGTATAATTTTGCGAACGTATTTGGTAATTTTGTATATCAAGTAATACATATTTCGAAGAAATTAAATACGAATACAGAGTATGTATTTTTATACCCGGTACTCGAAGAGTAAATAGGGTATATTGTATTTGTGGGGAATAACGGTTGTATGTAACGCACGGAAGGAAACGTTTTCGACCCCATAAAGTATATATATATTCTTGATCAGCATCAATAGACGAGTCGATAGAGCCATGTCTGTCTGTCCGTCTGTCTGTCTGTCCGTCTTGTTTGTCGGCTAGTTATCAGAGACTATAAGAACTATTGAGCCACCAAATTTTGGCTCCGGACTGCTGTATGCTCACACTGAAACCAGTGTGTTTCAAAAATGAGCCACGCCACCTTCCGCCTCCGCAAAAGGGCGAAAACC